GTCTACCTAGTATACACATTTAGGTGAAAATTTGTTTATAATTCTGTAGGGGCATGCTCGTGATAGTGTAATAAAGTTTTTACAGCTACAATTTCATTTTGCAACTCTTTTAACCCCAGCCTCAAGAAATCCTGTTTCTAAAAAAAAAGGCAGCTCCATTTTATTTTTACACAGCGTTTAAACGTATATTTCCCGATTATTTCTTATAACACCGAACATCCCTTCAGTGTATTACAAAATCCAACGGTACAACACATCATATTTTTCCTCTCCGGAGCCTGGCTATAGCTTAACAGTAACATAGAGCCACGCTAGTTTCTTTTAGGCCTATGTCAATTTCCTACAAGAAGTGTCTGGAGGAAGTACTTTCAAAGTAATGTTAGTCGTTAAATGGCTATTAATTATCGTATTTTAGAAGATTTTTTTCTTGAATACTGTTTATATTTACAAACACCATTTTTCATTAACAGAAAATTGTAAATTATACCAACTTTCAGTTTATGTGTTTATTCATTTTGCTCACCGCTTCCATAATAATAATTTTAAATTCTTTGTACTGACAAGAAATACGCCAGTGTTTCTCACTTATAAATCCCCAATTTTAAAATATTGAGTAATGTGTTTGTGTTTGATAAAGAAATAATACACCACACGAATGTGAAACTACAAAAGTAAATTTTACATGTTGCAATATGTTTTAAATATAATAATTTATCGCTTTTGTGCATCGTTCAAACTTTTTACTCAAGCAGAAATCAAGTGGGGATTGATAAAAATATTCTTTGGTGATACCCTCGTCTCTTGTGCCATGGTCGGGCCGTGGTTAGAGGAGTTTATCACATACTACTATAAATACTGGGATCGCATAGGCCTAGAGTTGAGGCCTAACTAATTACAGTCCTATTCCAGTTATTTGGTTATTGAATATCATATTTACAATAATTATTGAGTCATTATCTTTGTTATGTTTACACATCGTTTAGTGTCTCCAATTAATCTATAATAAATTATAAAGACAGGATAAATAAAGCAATATGAATTTGAGCTAGGCCTTAGCTTATTTTGGTGTTGATTATATATATATATATAATATTTAATTAAATATATAGAGGGCGCATTTTTCGTCAACAATAATCTTTCAATCATTTCGTTGTTATTCAATAATTCAATCATTGTTCATTTGATCAGTTTGTTTGACCATGATTTCAAAACAGATTTAGATCCTTGGTGAATTAAACAAAATGGACAGCTATATAATGAACCTTGCCAAAAAGTCCATAGGAATTTTTTAAGACCATTTTGGTTGCTTCAGTTGCTGTAATGAAATTTGAAAGCATGCTGAAATAAACATTGTCAACCATATACAATTATCATGCAAAATAAGGGTGAAAATGTAGTTATCAAATTGTACAAGATACAAGATACTTACTTCAGGCAATAAAGTATCTTGTATGTTGTATCTTGAACCACCATTGGTCGGTCGTAGGTACAGTACTCACTTATTAAATGTTCAGAACACGTATCTTTCTACTTACTCATATTAACACATACATTCTTAAAAAATGACCAGACATTAGCTTAAATATGCAAAAAATTAGTAGAGTTTTGCTCTTTCGTAACAAAACGTTTACAATAAATTCCATTTTTGCTCAGAGCAATCATTAAAATGAACGAACACCGGTTTGTGCTAGTGTACACTTAAATTCTTTAAAAAAAAAACCAAAAAAACCAACCTAAATCCACCCCCCTCCAAAAAAAAACAAAACAAAACAAAAACAAAAACAAAAGTGACAAAACACGCTAAATTGATAGTGTGAACGTCCAACAGTTGACTGGAACCTGACAGTTCATCAGAGAGACAGACATCAGACAACAACGGCCGCCCTCTTTACTCATCGAAGGGTACAGTACTTCCGGTTTTGAAAATTTCTCTCTGTTTGATCCACCATATTGATTCCCGGCGAGACAAGTTCAAGCCCTGGGCATATTGGTTTGGACTTACACTATTTACAGCGAAATACTATATTTTAATTTTTTTTATCTTGCTGCATGTATACTGTGAATTTCAGGTAAACATAATTTTATGTCAGTTTTAGGTGAAGGGCAAAGATTATATATAATTTGTTGTGTAGGCTTAGGCCTACCTAGCGATCGATCGATACGGTGCTGAGCTTTTTATTTACAACACGACAGACAGGACAACTGTGCCCTTTTAAGCTAGGCTAGGCTAGGCATCGTCAAGATGAGATCGTACTCCCAACGTTAAGCCTAAAATAGTGAGCATAGTTTGCAGCTATTATAAAATTAGACCTAGGCCTATATGTTTTGATGAAGTAGACGATGTTTTTCAGTTGGCCTGCCCTGCTGTAAATACTAATAGTATAGCAGGCAGCAGGCGTTTGTTTTTGTTAGAATGAAATACTATTAAAATATATTTATTTTTTAAAATTAAGTGCCAGCATGCAGTCATTGTTAGTTACTGGCTTGGCTTTAAACGTTGTATTTATGTATATTTTTTTCTTTCACATTTCAAAACCTAGCTAGCTCTTGCTACTGTCTGTGGTTATTTGGTGAGGGTAGACATCCTAGGCCAAAGCTATTAATATTACAATATATCATTAATAGTTTATACAAAATGACGCCAAAATGTAATTATCACCATCCATAGGCCTAGTACTAGGCCTACGGCCTACTAGTAATTGTTTTTGGATTCCTACTGCATGGCTGCCATTTTGCTGGCTAATATAATGTACTGCAGCGCTACTGTATATTATATGTAGTAATGTGACCTTTACCTTCATTTTTTCTGGTCTCTTGCAATGTTTTTATAATAAGTGGTAGTAAGCATGTAGTAATAATCAATTTGTCAGGCAATTGTGAACTAATATATTCACATTTGGAAAAGTTTATTGTTTATTTTATTGCTCAATATACAATATTAAATTATTTTGTTTATATTTTGCCTGTTTATTAAAAGTATATGATGATAACATCATACCATTGTATTGTATCCTATTTCTGGCTGTAGATCTTTTTAAGAACAACTGATAGACAAAATGAGAATTATATAAGTTAAGAATATGTTTTAATTTATGATTGTTTTTTTTTTCTGAATTTTCTAACTAAAAAACTTGATGAAATCCTGTTCTTCTTTTTCAATGAAGTTAACAATAAAAAGTACAGTATATTGAAATATTTAATATTGAATATTTCTAATTTTGCCAGAATGTTGTAATAGATTGAATAGAATAGGCCCTACAATATAAACTCCCTCTATGTACTTGAAGTCTTGTTTATAAACATAAGTCATCATATACTAAAAGTGAAAACCATAAAATGTTCATAAATATTTCTGGAGGAAATAAGAGAGAAAAAAATAAACTATACTAGGAACCAGCATCTCTTGTTTTGCCAGCACAAAAGAAGGGCCTGCTTGCACAGTGTACACAACTTACTCCCAGCGTTCTTAAAACTAGTCCACAATATTATCCCTTCCAATCCAGAAGAAAGAAGAAATATACATACTGTAATACTATGTTGCCCATTCCCCACCCTGTTTTTCTGTCAGTATTACAGATTTGACTATAAATAAGATTATAGGAGTGATGTTTTTCCCTACCTGACGTGTTGTCGTACTAAATACTCAGTACATTTGCATACTTGCGAAAAATATTCACATCGAAATATAAGATTGATACAGAAAACAGCATTTCCACACGCCATAGATGCTGAAATAGCACAGCCACACAACCTATAATGTTTTACTCTGAGATTAACAAATATTAATTTGTATTTCAGGCTCCAATCATTTGTGTATGGTACTTGTATTTTACAATCTTTAATTACACTGTCATATGAAAAATATTCAAATATTGCCTTTGTTATCATACATGAAATATTCATGATTCATTGATTTAAAGCTATCTAAAAAATATATATCAAAACCTTTTTTTTATTATTATGTTTTGGAAGGTACGTTATAATGCATACATTCAAGCCATCAGTTTTCTGTGATTCTCTTTTATTTTTGTATTTGTGCTAAATAGGTTTTCTCCAAGATAAGCAATTCTAAATGAAAATCAATTTATTTAGATTAATAATTTATTTCCATTTTACAGTATCTCAAGTTTTCATGCATCACTTTTATTTACAGTACTACTAGGTGTTATTTTCAAATGTGTGTTGAAAAAGTCTTCAGTTTGCTTTGCTCATCTAATATTTTAAAAAGCAGCTCATATTTCATGGTGATTTAATATTTGTTCAATACATTTTTTTTCTTTCATTCTTTTTCTCCCTCATCTCTTTTCTTTTCCGAGAACACTCGCAGTAATGCATAGATAATTATGTGCTCTACAATTCAGTTTCTAATGTATTTATCTCATTTGTTACATGATATTTAAATGGTTGTTTATTTTGATTGGGTTAGCAGGATAATTCACTCTTCAAATGTCTGAACAGTGAAATTAAGAGCATGGAACCCCACCACCACATCATGCTATTATTCTTCAAATCATTATAAAAAATTAAAAAAAAAAAACACATACACATAAAATGACGGTTTCATAATGGAATACAGTCTTTATTTACTGTTACTGATCTTTGGTCGAGTGGTCACGTGTAAACGCTCCCTTTATTTACATTAAATCGTGTGCGATTTTCAAATTTTATCGCATCATCACTGTGTGAGGAGAGAAACGGGCGTGTTTCCTTATGATGACAATAATTTTGCACTGTGTGTTTATCCAGGGGAATTCACTTCTTCTATGTGACAATATTTATACTCCAAAATGTAGTTCCATAGATCAATATTACAAATAATATTAAATGATGACCTGATGTAGTGCAGTTGTGTAAAAAGCGTTGAAGAATTTAAATATGTGATAGATTTACATTACGAAATAAATAGTTTATGATGCGGTAAAGAATTTGGGTCGGGGAGATCGTGGTTGGAAAAGGGGCGTAATAATCCGTCATGCATGAGTAGTGCCGCCAAGTCTTGTTTACTCTGGCTCACTGTAGGCGTCCTATCTGTTTTGTACATAATTCTAGGCCTAGATAGGTAGGCCTATTCATTCATTGATAATTTCCGAAGTGTAAAATTGTCCACGTTTTTTGATGGATTGTTATTCGCAAAATCGGAGATCGATAGCATTCATAAGGTATTGCATTGTTGAGATACTTTGTAATTGGTTAGAGAAGCTCATCTCCGGCGGCCAGCGATATCAATATCATCGCGTCCGTTCGAAAGAGCAGAGGAGTGAGTGGCTATGCCTAGGATTCGAGCTAGAAATTGGATAGTACTTTGAAATCCGCATTTTGTTCTAGCCTAGACATAGTTTCATTACATTAGTAATTTTAGTTTACTATGTGTAGTGTGTTCATCAGTCTTTAAGTAAACGCACACTGACATGTTTTACTAGGCCTATATAAATACGATCGTTATTTAGCCTTTAGGTTTACCTACTGAGTACTGTAGGCCTGGGCTAAGCTAGGCCTAGTTTTTAATTAACACAAACACAATCGTAGGCTTACGCTTCGGTAGGCCTGGTCAAGGCTAGCCTATGATCGCATAAAAACCGTCCAGCAACATAGGCCTATTCCAGCCTTTTTTTTAGCTAATTAAAAAATATTTTTCGTTGTAAAAACGTTCTGTTCACGGTTATTATTTTAAGTCGGCTGAGGGTCCCAATGCAGATGTTCAAACATTCTCCTTTGCGTCAGGTTTTCGTATAATGTTAGCAGATATCCCAATTCTCCCGAGAATTGCGGGTTTCTCCCGATTTTTGAGGCCGTCTCCCGCCCTCCCGATTTTTATTAATATCTCCCGATTTTTTTAAATATCCCGAAAATTTCACAAAAAATGTGATTTCCACGATGTCGTAGAGCAATGAAACAAAATTTCTTATCTTAAGCCAATATACTATGGCGCTCACTCAGCCATAAAATGTCATAAACAAGGCCAGGGAGTTGTTATTTAAGTTGTTTATCAAAATAACAACTCAGGGCAAGGCAGGCCTAGATCCGTGGTAGAACCAAATAGTAACGAAATCAGAAATCACATGGGAATGGATGGGGCCCGAAGTTTTCGCCGCGAAGATTTGGAACAGAATCGGTGCATAAAAATTACTTTTTCTTTCAAGTAAGCTTCAGTTCTTTAATAACAATACTAAAAAAATTATAGTTAATAGGTTTTGGTACTAAGCAGTCTTCCGAAAAAATGAAGTTTATTTTAATATCGATCCCGAAATACATGTAGGGCTTAGGCCTAGGCTCTATCTGCAACACTGCAGGGTATGTACTGTATGTGTGTTGTGTTGGGTGGGCGTGTGTGTAGTGGTGGTTGTGACTGCGGTATTAGGCCTAGTTACGCATGTATAGATGGAGCCTTGCGAGGCAGGATTTAATGTTTTTTTTCATGGCATTATTTACCAGTTCTTATAGGCTAGACATATATAAATGCTGACTTAAAACATGTAGTATGATTTACTAACTAAATTAAAATATATATATTTTTTAAAATTTTTCAGCAAACGTGTAAATCTTGCAAGTTGCAGTTACCTTGCTAGAATTCTATGTTTTTTGATGAGATGTAATAAATCAGCCATAGCCTCTAACATACCAATTAACCAAGCAAAGCCTTGTTGACTGCTGCCAAGAACGCTTTACTAGCTAAATGCTAAATAAATAATATTTATAAATTTATATTTTAGGCCAACTGCAATGTGTAAACAAATGTAAAATAAAAGTAAACAAATTGATGAAAATTGTTTTGTTAATTAAAAGTAAACAAATTGATGAAAATTGTTTGTTTTCTTCATTTTGTGTAATACTTTCATGTTGCACAGCGCGTTGTAAGGCGTCACAGCGCGTCGCTACAGGAAACGATCGCTTCATGAAAAAAATCTCCCTATTTTTTGGTTTTCAAACTTGGGATCTCTGTGTTAGGATATAAAGATGTCAGTCCTACAGTGACACAATGTGAAAACAATGAGAGGCAGCACCTCCCTGGTGTGGACTAGCTTGACAGACTGTTCTTTTAACTGTACTGTACTGTAATGCTCAAACACAAAGCAACTATAAACTATGTTACTAACTGTCTTGAAAGCAAAGTAGACCCTAGTCTTTATTTTTAATTTAATGATATAATTCAGTTTGGTTCTGTGATGAAGATTGTCAATTAATGATACAGTAGACCGAATCGGCGGCTCGGGTCACGAGGCTTATAGTGGGTATTATAGTGGGTATTATTAGGGTTTGTTTACATCTATCGAGATCGCGAGACGACAGTGCATTGAATATAGCTTCGTCTTGTTGTTGATGTAAGTCACGTCATAGATGTTGCAAATGTTGGTTGGAATGCGAGTTATAATTTGGTAAATCACTTAGAAGTGTTCCAAAATTAAATTTTCAAACCCTGGTCAAGGCTTAACACTCACAGTGCAGCCTAGGCCTATACACACTAGCAGCATTCCAGAGCCTAAATAAAATGCACAGAGATTGCCAAAGTAATTATAAATCACTATTAAAAAGAAGCATAGGCCTACTACCTTACTTTACTTTGGGTCGCTGTCTAAAAAACATCATAACTCTCTCAATATACTGTGTTCAATGAGCGCACTGTGGTTTACGATGTTTACATTTAGTACCCACTATAATGTCAAGTGACCAGTAATTGGTGGAGTCACTGATTCGGTCTATTACAAGACCTGGCCTAAATCAAAGGCACTAAAGCCTTGGAACAAATATATGCAGTGGCAAACAATTAATTTGCTATTAATTACATACTGTACATTGTCATTTTTGTAAAACGTATGCTAATTATGTTGCATCAATATCTGGCATATTGTTTTCATAGTTTTGAGCAATCCTGGTGGGCTGCAATCTTCCATAAAAGCTGTGAAAAACGTCTTTACTATTAAGGTGTTTAAATGCATAGTGGATATATTATTTCACTTTAAACAAATTTTAAGTACTGTAAATATTTTTAATAATTTGGATTTTGAAACTTAATTTAACAAGCATTGTTTCAATGCTCTATGATCTCAACAAAATAACCTACTATAATTAGCAATATACCTAATGAATGAAAATCTTATCAGTGATATGTTTACTATGCAACGTTGGCTTTCTCTATTGGTTAATACTGTAGTTGACCAAACTATAGATATAGGTGTTCATGATAGTGCTAGAGATTGATTTTACAATAACATATTTGTTTTACACTTTATCTAATTTATTAAAATCTAATTTAGTAATTACCTGTCATATTTCACTTGTAAGTATAAAATAGTTTTTGTTTTATGATAAATCTATATAATCATATAATTTTTAGAATGTTAATTTTAACTGCTAGGAATAAATATTCTATAGCATTATTTTCTGTAGAAATTTAAAATGTGGTTTATCTTTAGATATTATCATTCAGTAAATAAAACGTTGTTTGCTGTAATCTCACTGTCAATCATTTACTTTCTCTCTGCCCTGCTTTGTGTACAATTTAGGTTGTTTATGAGATAACACCATTTGATCAGGGACAAGGGTGTACATGTGTGCTGTTATAAAATTGGGAATTTTGGCCTGATCTGGAGAGTATGCATGCTTGTACTATATGCTGTATTAGTCATACTGTTTTGTAACAACAGGCGTCGGTGTGTGTGAGTAAAGTTGTGGGTCAGTTAAGGTGCTTATCTTCTAATTCCAAGGGTCTGAGTTATATTTTGCAGTCCAAAAGTTAATGCTATTACTTGGGTACTGTGCACCAGTGGTCCGTCTTCTCAAGATGACCGCTCTCATTTGTGAAGCATAAAATACTGCAATGTTTAGCAGGGGCGATCTACAGATAGAGGTAATTTAATATTTTGTAAGCGGGGTCGAAGGAAAAGTCTGGATTGAACTTATGGTCTTTGGATTACAAGTTGAGCATCAGTGGTGGTGCCATGGTTCTGATTAAATAGGGCATGATAAAGCAGGGGAAAAGGACAATATTGACACAAAACATCATCCAAGAACCAGTCTGATGGAGAGATTTTAGAAGGGTTTTTGATATACAGTATGTACAAGGACAAAAGCTCATGTAGCTATTTAGAAAAATAAAATGATTAATTTTGATATTTTACAATAAGCCAGTACTGTACTGTACTGAACTCACTATACAGCCAACAAAAAATCAAGTGTATGAATTTTTGTTAGTTGTTTAATTCTCTGTTTTTTAATTTTGTTTGTTCTTTTTAATATGAACATTGTGGATGCACCACCTTTGTGTGTGCCAACGATATATAAAGGTGTAATTTCCAAATAAATACTTACTTACAAGTGTGTTCAAATAAAAACAACTAAACCAGTGACTTTTGATGTTCAACACCGTTGAAATTGAGATTAATTAGTGAGGCGTATCATTCAATTTTTCATAAAAAATTCATACTTTACATCATTACAACAGACCACCAATACTATTTAGTAGATCATTTTTTTCTATTATAATGCCATGAACAAAGTATTGATTGAAAATTATGTGTTGTGTTGTGTTTCTGGGTAGGAAAAAGGGAAAACACATTGAACTCTAGCAAAAATTCTCCTCATGCCCTGTATAATACCACTGTTAAGTATTCATTACTGTAATAATATGTCAGGCCTAAAATTATACTTCCTGATAAATATTGTGAGATAAATTGCTAGGGTTAATGATTAAGTTTACTCGCCCTTGCAAAAATTAAAAAAGAATGGAAAAATCAAATACTGTACTTGCATGCATGTACTGTACAGTAGCAAAACCATTGATCACAGGAAAACCCTATAATTGTTGGTGTCGTAAAGCCATTTAGCCTGTTTAATCGGTAGTTTTTTGCATTGTGTTTGTATCAGTGTAGTCATAAATAACTATGATTCATTGCAATCTTTTGTTTATATTTTCTTTTCCTACACTTTTTTTTATGAGAAAACATTTAAACATTATGAACAAAATAAGAACAAATTGAGGCTGGGGTAAATTGTCAAATGAGGTTTTTATTTAAAAAATAATTGAAAACCAACAAATCTTATCTTATTTGTAGTAGCTGTAAAAATGCAGTACCCTCAGATACAGTACAGTAATGTACTGAGTTGTACAATAATATTTTTTTGAAAATTGTGTGAAAATACTGTAAGAACAAAATAAGAACATTTTGAGCCTGAAATTGGCAATGATAATGATGAATCTGGGCAAAATGTTACTGGTTCTTTAAAAAAAAAAGTATATTGCAATAAATAGAATTGAGGCTTTTATTGAATGAAGAGTAACTACTACAGTACATACAGTATCTTAACTAAATAATTAATAATGATCATAATCAAATATAGAATTAAGGTATTAGGTAATATTAATACTGTAGGCCCCTATTAAAATCTAAGCTAGACTGTGTAGTAGTCATGAATTTGAATTAAAAAAAAAATATATGATATTTGTATTATTATATTTCAGTTTGACCTGTACTTGACATTAAGGATTGAAAATTATGTAATGCCTTGTAATTACCCACATTTGGCTGATATTGTTGGTTCTCATAGTACCGGCTATTAAGACATACCTGTACTGCACACATTTGCATATTTTAACAATTATCAATACCTTTGGTGTTTATGAGTTGTTAACCTTTTACTAGAGTGGTGTTAAATATTGGAATGGTGTTGTTTTACAGAATGAAGTCATGTCATATCTATTACGGAGGCAGGTGACAATATAATACATGTTGCAACCTAAATTATAAAGCTGAGCTTATTAACTTCTAAATTCTGTAGATATTGATTTGATGACTTCCCTATGGAATCTTTCCTTAGTAATAGGCTCAAGATGAACAAAGAACCTCATTCAATCTGTTTCTCCCTAGTACTGTATCAAACCAAGCTATTGTACATTATGCAGCTTACAAAATAATGCAATTTTTTTTTCAACAATAATTTGAAAAGTTCTATATGTAGACCTACTGTACAGTACACGAGAAATAGTAAAGGTAAAGAAAGAAAAAACAGAAAAAAAGTTACTTTGCAAGGGTTTTTCAGTTTTCAATAATCTGTGTGTCTGAAGACATACCAGTATAAGAGCGACATATTGATAAGAAAATCAACAGTGAACTCAGATCTAGGGTACATTGCATGATTGCAAATGAAAAGGTAAACATTATTACCAAAAGTTCCTCTTGTAACAGTGTCTCCGGAGACACTACAAAGAGAGATGATGAGATAGCTGATTCACTGCTCAGGTCCACATTTTCTTCCATGATGGCTTTTACCAATACCAAGTTTAGTACCATCACATATTAATATTGTATATCATTTTTCTTTTTATAGTAGGTTGAGTCAGTAATGATTGATGCTAGATCTGATTCTAATAACGAGTTGACTTCAGTAAAGGTTGGTACGTAAAAGTTTTTCACTAAGTTAAATTTTAAAATTGATAAATTTATATTTTTAAAGGTTAAGTTACTATTTAACAATAATTTTAAACACTTTTTTTAAAATAAAAGGAAAGGTTTAAAATTTTAAGTTTTTCCTATTTTAAAGTAATGCATTAAAACCAGGCTTTGGAGGAAACAGTTTTTTGATACTGTGTGTTGTACAACTGAATATTTAAAAACTGGGGTGGGAGGTTAGTGATGTCTCTCTTCCTCCCATTTTTCAAATATTCAAAAATTTGTTTTTTGTCAAACACCCTTTTTGGGTCTTGGAAAAAGTTGCACAGTACAACATATCAAATGATTTTTTCCTCTGGAGCCTGATTTTCCAGTCAGTTATCTATAAAATTTGATTTGGAGGTATTTTGCTTGTGAATTAAAGAACACAGTATGTATGCTTATGTATGCTGTGGACCATTCCTATATTCCTAATAAAATAGTTTAGAATATTTGTTAGACCATTTGATTAGTTAAAGATTTTTGTAGGAAAAAGTCTGTCAAATCAAAACAATACTGATTATTTGATCCATGTTTTATTGGAAGGTTTAGTCATGCTTAAATGATCTTTTAAAATGAGTCTTCAATATAATAACATTACAAAAAAAACTGATAAACAAAACTGGTAATGATTTGTGTTAGCACTGCTCGTGCACGAGTGTCTCTGGATTAAATCGCCGCATTGAAGCCTCCAACAGTATTGTGTTGATTAGATGCATTTATTTCTGTCTATTTCTTGTTCTTACAGCTTCCTTCAGAGATAAACGAACCAGCCCCAGGTGAAATTCAGCCTGAGCCAGCACCATTCCTCAAGAAACAGTCAAAAAACCTCACGTCTCAAGAACCAAAAACCAAGTCCTATTCAACTCCAAACGGCAACATGCAAAAAGCTACAATACTGCTCCTCGATGGCACTGACCAGCAATATGAAATAGATGTGAGTATGTTTATTTAAAAAAAAAAAAAAAGTAATTTTGCAGCTTAATACTGCAAAGTACAAAACCTAATTATGTATTTGTGAGCCTAGAGTAAGCATAGTTAATGAGGTCATGTGGTCAAAGACTGTTGTCACTAAAACAAATTACTGTGTTTAACATAATTAGTCACTATGCAGGCCGGCTTGCTGTAGTATAGTATACAGCATTAAAACCCCAAGACTTATCATCTGGATTCGTTATGTTTTTTTAGGGCAAACATGATTTATAAAGTACATAATCTAGACAAATGCACTTTGAGGTCATGAATTGCAGAATCTTAAACCACACCCATTTTTTTTACATACTGCAGATGAACAATTACTTTACACATGATCAATTTAATTACTCTATAACAATATATACAATGTAATATTGATGAACTTCATTGTGAATCGGTTACCACAAGCAGGAATTCAAAACAGTAACAATAACATAATAGACTTATCTCCTGATACTCTGTTGATAAGCTAATGTATGTGCGAGCGGAGCAAATGTGGTGCAGTAGGAATGAAGGAGGAAAAGCTCCCTGAAACTCATTTGATAGATTTTTTTAAATATTTACAGTTAGCATTGTAATTTTCTGAACAAGTTTTTCAATACAATAATTTTTTTACAATAAATTTGCCTCTTCCCCCAATCTGCCACTGGTATAGGTTAAATTTATGATAAATGTAAATGAAAATATGTATCATATTTTATTTTATATTTTTATTTTTGAAGTTTACTGTCATTTCCGCCCTCCCCCCCCCCCCCCCCCTTTATAAGTTGAATTTGAATTCAGGCAAGCAGTGTATATGTGTGGTATTTGTAGTAATCTATTTTTAGCATTACTTAAATTCTTTGTTGACTCTCCTCTGATCCTAAAAACAAGTTTGGTGAATGTGGCTACAGTAATACTGTATTATAGGCCTATAGCATAACATTGAGCAGGTTATAATGTTAACATTTGACCTCACCATTAATTAGTAATTGGTTTTTTTTGTGATTATGGTAGGACACTAATTCATAAAAAAAGAGAGGGTAAAGAGAGGGAGCTGATTATCATATTATTTTATTAATTGTGAAAAGTCTACACTTTTGGGTCTATGAGTTGCAGGTGTAATTCTTTTCATCATGAGTATAAATGGGTACCTGGTAAAACATAAATGTTTTATTGCAGAACATGGTATCTGCTTTGAATTTGCAGTGCATATTAAAAATATACTGTACCCCAGGGACTGGAGAAGGTTGCAAGTGCTGTATGATGTATGTGCAGGGGGTATTAATAAATAATCATTGTGATCTGGAAGTATAATATGGTGATGATTAATAGTAATATATATTCTAATTTATGTTCACTTTTTGTGCCTCTTTTGATGATGCTTTATTTCAATCAATGGTATTCAAAACATTTTTGGGGGGAGCACTTCTTCGCAAACTCATATCTTCTTTATTGCAACTAAAGCAATAATCAAAAGTGCAGTAGACCTACAGTACTTCGGATAATTCAAGGCAGTGATATATAATGCATTAATTAATTTTAAACAGAAAATTTTTTAATATCTTCAGAATGTAATTGGTAATTTAATAATAATTTTTCTGCATAATATTTTGATATTTGATTGGGATCAAACAGAATGAGGTGTAGGGGGAGGGGGGACTGAGGGAGAGGTGATCTACTGCAGGCCCTACAGTGTGGAATGTCAAACAGAGTCTAACAACAAGTATACAGTTTTCTACAGTAACCTTTGAAAAATATCAAAAGTTTCAGGACGATGGTTAGCCATGAGTTCTACTACTTTCTTTGCTGAAATATCCTGTACAAGAGTACAGTGTATTTATACTGTAGTATAGTTAACATCTATGGGAGGCAAAAACAAATTATGAAGCAGATGATGTGGGAAAATGCAGGACAGTCATAACTGTTAAAATGTTTCTGTTGATTGCTGCTCATATCAAGCTAAAGTCATGCCGTAAATCAATGTACTATGCTATAGGATTTGTTAACAGATCCAGCCACACTGTAGCCTATTTATTTGGACTGTCTGGCAAAAGATTGGATTGTTTACACTAAGCAGTGATGATTCATTCAGTGTATTAGTTCTTTGTAGTGCCATTCATTTCTCCATCTTGGTGGTTTTCATACCGTATGTTGCCCCATAAAGTACTGTTCTGACAGGGTTGATGCTACATTCACATTTATTTGGATTCAATCACAAATTTTAAATTTGCTGTAAATTCAATTTAATACATAAAAAATGTTTATAGAATTGTGTGAGGGCCTTAAAGAATTGCTTTTATTTTTTGATTTCTAGAGAGCTATTTAAGTTTTGTTAAAATTAAGTTCAGCACAATGAGCCTCTTTAGAATGGTGTAGCAATTATGCTAATTGATGATTCAGAATAATGACAATTTTTACTTGAAACTAACCATACATTAGTATACATTAGTAAAATAACAACTAGTACTGTACAGTACTCTGCTATACCCAAAATCTAAAATAATAATATTGATGGCTTAATCAGGATTACACGAGTCTCCCAAACATTTACAATGATGAAATAGAATGATACTGTATAGTAGCTCCTTGTTTTATCTTTAAGGGGTTTTTTTTATTTTAAAAGCTACATTTTCAAAAGGCTTAAATTATCCTGCAGCTGCTGTAATTTTCCTAGATTGATGTGTTTTTTCCCTTTTTTTTTCTTTTGTAATTTAATTTATAATTTATGAGTTTTGTGAGCATCACATAAAATTCCAATGTTATATAACAAATTGCAATCTTACTTGAACTTGAAAGTGGTATGCTAATTACTAATGCATCACTTAAATTCCAACTTGAAAACTTGAATTTAAAAAAGGACTTAAGAGATGGAAGTCTCTGGTACCAAAGATTTCTATGTTTTTATAAATTATATAAAGGAAAAGTCAGAGATGGGTCAATTTATCGCCTTTTTTTATTTCTGTTATTTTAACTGTTAATGCAGCTAAATCATGAGAATAGTGATGTAAAAATGTGTGAAATTATAAACTGCAGTTGTTTTTTTCTTCTACTGTATAAAAATCGTTGACCATTATGTGTGTACACACTATTTGAATGCCATTGTAAATTCAAATGTGAATAATGTATTGATTTTCTTTGACATTTATTACGACCTCATTTTACAAGTGTGCATTAATCTAGGTTCAATTGTTTTTGTAGTGAACTCTGAATGGTTCAGATAGAGTTCAAAATTTCAGAGAATTTGTAAATATGCTTTGTATACTATAGGCCTAAAAGTAGAACCCCTACTTTGGGATCCCTCCTCCCCCTCCCCCCATCAAGGGGATAATTTGTTGACTATGTGATGAAGGAAATGTATCTTTTTTTACTCTATCCTGTTCAGGGACTTCCCTATTCAATTTATGGGAACCCTTTTTGGTGCTGAGGGGGATTTTGTACTTGAAAGTGACTACTATACAGTGTGTTTTTTTATACCGGTGGTGTTGGGAACAGGGGGATTAAAGTCTGATAGATATATGTAGGGAATAAAGTGGTTTCTCACAACAGAAAAAAAGTCATAAATCAATCTTTTCTTTTTAATGAGGTGCCATTCCAACAGTGAATGAATGATATTTTTGTTCACTTTGTTTATTTTAGAGACGTTCAAAGGGAGAGTACCTGCTTAACAAGGTTACAGAAAGCTTGAATCTGTTAGAGAAAGACTATTTTGGTCTGACATTCCGTGATTCACAAGATCAGAAGGTAAGTTATTGTGTTTTATTTGTTAATTTGTGCATAACATACATTATAAAAAGCAAGTTAACAACAATAATAATGAACATTGAAAACATGATTTATAAAGTAGGCCTAATAGTATAAGAGAAGTGTAGAACCATATAATGGTATTTGTTTGCAGATCAATTATTTAGTATAATTCTTAGACAATCATTGAAGCGTGCACCAGTCATGAAATTAAATTAGGTGATGCGTACATAAGATGTTTATTTATACATTTACAATTTTCATCCGATTAATTATTGCTTGTGCTGTTAACAATAAAATCTTTTATGTTCATGTGTAGATAGTGTTTCTAAACACGACAAGTACTATGCATGTTGTGATGTCCCCGCAAAATTTTTGTGTTTTAGGCGCTCGTTTTTGGGGATTAATTTTTTTCTTTCTTTCTCTCTCTCTCTTTTTTTTTTTTTTTTAACTTCCAAAAGGAGAAGGGGGCGGGGCTGGCCCGGCCCACCCTAAATCGGCCCCTGGGTGGTTTACCATATTTTATAATCCCTGCATTAGCCTTATAAAAGTCAGAAATCATTACCTCATTGGCAATGGCTTGTACCACTTTACAGTAGTCTACTTTCGTAAATGCTAGTTTTGGAATTCTGCCATGTAGTTCAATGACTCCTACAAGTCCCTACTATAATGTACTTGTTTAAAATGAAAATTCTGAAAAAAAAAAAAATTAAAATAAAAACATAAAATCGGTTACATTATCAGCAGACCATATTGGAAGAAATATGGTCTGCTGATTAATTATTCTTCATTTCCCTCCCCATTGCATTAAAACACGCTCTGATCAAACTCAGAGGTGTTGCTGGAGTTTTCTACCAATTGGGCATACTGTACAGGATGTACAAGTGTACTGTTTATTTGCTTTGGTAGTACTTCACCATCTTCTGGACATTCAAATTTGTTATTGTTATATAGCATTCTAAACTCTGCACATAGAGGAAAAATATTTCATAATTCCTTTTGTACAAAAGCAGCGAGGCTTCCTATTTCAACATGCATCTGAAGTGTGTATTTTATGTAATTAATTTTTGATAAATCGAAATAACAAAATCTTTTTACTGTACAGTACTATAGGTGAGACTACTGTAAACACAGTAAATTTAACTAGGATTCTATATATGACATTTTCAGTTAATCTTTTGTTTGTCTGCTGTTGTATGACTTTTTTAATGTTTTAAATGTGCAATAATTTATAAATACCTCAAATGATTTAACCTTGATTACAGTAGAAAAAAAATATGGAAAAAACATAACCAGTTACTGTTGACACAACTCTACTCAAGGATCATTCTATTAATTCTATTGAAACATCCTGAATGTTTGGAATGTAATTATTCTCTAAAGATACATACAGGAAATTGTTATCATAGTACTGTACAAAAGCAGATGTTATAAACAAGAGGTGGTGGGAGTATAGTATAGGATGCCAATGGTTCAAAAGAACATGGTGTAGAATGTAGATGATAGAACAGTCATTATAGGCATTTAGATTTTGGGTTGGTAATAAAAGAGCCAGAATGGAATTAGTAGATAGACTTGTATGGTATGTCAGTCAGTATATCATTACACATGATTGTGAAATCTGCAAAAAAAACCCCCAGATATTAAATTACAACATTGAAATACTTCGAAAAATCAAGTTTGTTTATTATTAGACATAGGTCTAAATAAAAAAAAAAGGTTTTGACTGTACACTGTACAGTACTTCTCTACCTATATTTTTAAATATAATTTTTATAATTGTCTTTCATTTTATATCTTACATTAAAATGGAAAGGAAAACAAAACCCCATAAAAATGAATTAGTAATCGACAAGCTACAGTAAAATGCAAATCAAACTGTTCTACTTTTAACCTTGTTTCCGTCCTTTGTTATCTTGCAGTCCAACTGAAAATCCTCTCTTTGTCTTATGTGAAGGGAAATTTATTCTGTAACTGCATTTTGCATAAATATCTTAAAGTAATTCAAAGATTGAAACAGCAGTGACTTAATTAGTGGAACGGTAGCCCATTCAGTGCAGTGAACTGTAAATACAGCTCTCGCCAAATAATTTAGATTTTAGCAAGTATACAGTAGCTAATTTACTGTAACATTCATACAATACACCATGTTTTAATTGGTTCCATATTCAGAGTCGTGTTAGGGGTCGTTCACAATTATCAACATTTTCGCAAGTGTACAAAAAGTACTTTTTTTTTGGTACCACCTCCCACCCACCTGAAAGTGTACATAAAAAATGTTGATGTTATGTTCTAAAACCATGCTCCATTTTTTTGTGAAGTCAACTAAAAGTATTGTATTTGGTTGCATAAGAATGTCTATTATATCCATAGTTGCATTATATTGATCATAAAAATCTGTTATTTTCAGTATTACATGTTGTTTTGAATTAACATTTTCATGTTTCAAGTTGTAAAACTTGTCTAACTTTTCCCCCAGCATACTGTTTGTACACTTGTGAAAAGGTTGATAATTGTGAACGACCCCTTAAGAATAATTGTAGATTTTCAATGGCAATGTTTCCTTTACCTTTGTCTTCTTGTCCTCAAATGAAAGTAATGTGTTATACAAACAGTAGAAATTTTAGCACTAGGTTACTTCATAACAAATAATTAAAAACAGAAAATCCTGACCGGTTTTGTTCTTTCTTTGTCGACATTGTGCTGCCAACATCATATTCCATTCAATATTGTAAAAACTATTTGCCAATATTCTAGATAAATTAGCTTTAAGAAACTTTCTGTGATAATTGAATTATTTAGCTTAACATTTGTCATATTTATGTGGGATTAATTGGTCTCTTTCTTCTTACAGAACTGGTTGGATCCTGCCAAGGAGATACGAAAACAAGTGAAAAGTAAGCAACAAATTTGCGGCATTTCAAAGTGTTAGAATATACTGCACAATAAGCCTAAAAACAGCCTACAGTACTCAGTGTACTAATAAAATTTTAATTACTGTACTATAAATAATGTAATTATAATATAGTGTAATACAATGTGAAGATACAATATATTGCAATATAATATATTATAGTGTAGTGATACAATATAATACACTATATGATATATAGTGTAGTGTACTATATGTAATGTTTTACTATAATCTGTATGGTAATGTATACAGTACAGCATAGTAAAATAATACTGGCTGTACATTGCTACTATTTGTATTGCTGAGCATGTGTATTATGCATAATACAGAAGAAAAAACTATTAAGAGAAAGAAAAAAGTATTAATAGGACAGCAAGAAAACAAGAATGTACAAAAAGAAAAGCCCCTGAAAAGGTAAGTCTTGATGAAGATTGAAAGAGGCTTGGTGACATGTGCAGAGACAAATTCCATGGCTTTGGGCCAGTGACCATAAAGGATACTTCCTACAAGTTCAGCACCATGTTGGCAAATGGAGACTACTGTACTTTGGTGGTACAGTAGGTCTCAGAATTACAGTGGGCCTACTGTATTTAACTACTATATATTGAGTATTTTTTCTTGATGTAAACCAACTTCACTAGTAGGTTATAAAAGCCAGCTCAAAAAACACCCCCACATTTTTTCTAGAAATTCCAAGCAGTGGATAGCACTCTATAATGTTCTGAGAAATATCTAATACAAAAACATGAATATATTTTTTTAATATTGTTATTGATAGTATTATTAATTTTGTTTGTTATAAATTGTCAGATTCACATCATGTATTCACAGTGGACTCAACAGTTATGAATAAGTTTGCATTGAGTAATATACCAAGGCCCACTATTATACTACTGTAAAGCTCAGTCCAGACTATCAAATTTACTTCGACAAAAAACTTTGATATGCCCATATATAGTCATGATGTGCCTATATATGGTCAGGATGTGATGTCATCATGACCATATTTAGGCTTGTCACATGTTTTTGTCAGATAATATTTGATAGGCTGTACAGTGCTTAAGAGATGGCTGTTTTAATGTAATTCTTACTGCTACTGGTGAATCTTGCTATTAAGGCCTCTAAGCACTTCACATTATTACCACACAGTCACAGTAAAAACTTATAAGCCTGGTTCTCACGAGAGCCCTAGAATCCGGATGGGGAGCTAACCGTTAGCACCTGCGTGAGAAAGCCTGATCGGTTAGCGCTAACCGTTAGCGGTATCCGGATACTGCTAACGGTTAGCAGGTGCTATCGGTTAGCAAGTTGAGAGCGTTTCTATCATCAACCAATCACACATACGCGTTTATAATTTCTAGTTTGTTATTGGCCATTGATTCGATCATCATATTGTTGGTATCCGGATCGGGATTTTCTCGCATGGACACACGGCAGCTAACGGTTAGTAGGATCCAGATCCTGCTAACCATTAGCTGTCGTGTGAGAACATAGCCCGTAGAGCACATTCACTGAGCTGCTGGGGAGTGGGGGGAGTAGTTAATGCACTGACATTCTAACCTACCAGATACCCACATTCTTGGGTAAAGACCATCAACATGAATAATGTGCCTTGCTTTATGTACATGAACAAATTGTCAGCCTTGGTCTCCAACCAACAATATTTTAATTGGAAGCCTACAGGTTTACCAATGCACTACTTGCTCCTGGTACATATTAATTGATGACATGCTTTAATATTCCTCAACTTTGTCACATTGATTTTGTTTTAACAACTGATCAGTGGAAAATTTAACCTGTGACCCACTTTGGTCGATTTATCTCAAATTGTTCTGTTTCTAGTTGTGGATTTTCGTCTCAATTATTTTACTGTCTCTTAGTATTTTTTCAAAAAAATTTACATTTTCATTTCATTTATTTATTCTCTATCGAGACACTGTTTATGTAGCAAAATAAATTACTCATTAAGTTTTGTCCTGTGGGTGTCCTTTGCTCAAAGCAGACTTGCGATGCATTAATTAAACAGTGTAGATTTCATACAATATGGAAGGCAGTATATTTTATATTGTCTATTAGAATTGTTATTTAATTGTTTAGGATAATTTATTATTTATTTATTTATTCACTTCAGTGGCAATTCCTAGAAACATTAAAAACCAAATTCAAAATATTTAATGGAAGAATATATCAGAAATATAAATTCTTCTACATACAGGTAGGTTTATATTATGTTATAGTGTGTAGTCACTATGAATTATAAAAATTAAATTATATTACAATTATTGTAAACTGAATATAGCTATCAAAAAATATATTTTGAATTCATGCTACAGTCCCAAATTGTTCAGTCTTTCATCAGAAGGGTTTAAATATAATGCAATGAAGGGGGTACACTCTACAGTACATGACCGTTAACCTAGTTAAATTGTTATCAGTGATAACTTATGTAATGTTTTCACACAGTTCTGCAGTGGTGTATACATTTATCGGCCAGTATGAAGAAATTTACTAAAATTCACTAAAGTATACATATTTTCCCATCATGTTTAATTGGTGCTGTTATAAATGTGTTTTGAAAATAAAAATTCTGAATTGTGGATGTTCCATTTTTTACAAATTTGGTTATTTAGTATTGTATTCAATGTATAGTAAAAATATATTTGAATTAATTTTACATCATCTTTGCCTTTGGAGGCAAACATTCTATTGTAGGAATTTAACCCACAATCATATGTTGCAAAACCTTTATTAACATACCAATTTGGTTTACTTGTGTAATGCATGTCTCTGCTGTTCAGTCAACGTTTATTGACGTTCTCTTCAGTCATATGGATATGTGACCTTTACTGAAAAGTGATCATACAGTAGTTAGGAGCAATCAATTTTTAAGCATTTCTTTACAAAAGCATAAATGATTTATAAACAAAATTTCATTTAATTATTATGTGGTAGTGTACAAATGTCTTCAAATATTCATAAATTTGTTTTTACAAAGAGTCTACAGTATGCCTGGACAGTACTGTATCCACACTTGTTGTGGTTTGCCTATATCATGTGCCTCAACAAAACAAACAAACAAAATTTTTTTTTTTTTTGCCTTTTTAATGCCTTAATAAAACATGTGACCAATGGCTAAGAGATTTTGGTAAAGTCATTTCAGCTGCTCAGAAGATGCGCATTTGGAACATTTGTAAAATTGAACCAATAAATCTTAGCACACTCAGTGGCTAGCAACAGTTTAGCCAACTCACTATAGCTGTTTATTCAAGCCCCTGTTCAAACTTAAATTATGCAGACCGTATTCTGACTTTATTGACTGTCTGGATGAAAACTACAATACTGTTAAACCTTAACCATTTTGAGCATTAATCCTATACAATTTAGATCTTAGTCTCAATCATAAATTTGTGATTGTCAATTACATGAATAGAGAATCATGGTGTTTTCAAAAGGGTGTTTCACAGTGTGCGAAATCCATTGTAGTATGTACTACAGACTGCTGAGGTGCAGCACTTAAAAACATTTCATGTGTTTGAGTCAATAGTAGCTCAGTAGTGCCCTTTTTCTTTTTCACTTCAATTCAATACATGTTTGTTCTGCAACCATTCTATTTAGTCCTTCTGTTCCTTAAGTAGCACTTCAAACATTACAGTATGTTTGTTCAGTTATAACTTCTTCCATTTGTAAACCTAGCATTTGAGGCTAGCATACAGTAGCGCTGGGAGTGGTAAACCATTCTTAATTTATGTTATCAACATACTGTACATCTGTATATGATATTTTGAAGCTGCTAACATCATCGATGATTACAGTATTGTACTGTACTAACAAAATTAAAAGGCATGTCCTACACAAAAGCCAGGTACACATTGCTTGGCTGTCATGATTTTATAGAGACTGCAGCGCAATGACGTGTGCATGATACAGTAGGTAGCTTTTGTGGCGATTCACGTAGAATGGAACACACCAACAACCGGGGTGGTGCCAGGATTTGCTCAACGTTGGTGGGTGGGGAAACGCCGGCATTACTCCAAATCTCATGAAAGTGTTCCAGGGTGCGAAGAAACCCAAAAATTTGACAATTTAGGGGTTTAAAAGGAAGTACATATATATGTTTTCTCCCCGACTAATTGTGGTTTTTCTCCGCGACGGTGGCCCTGGGGCCCCACCCCCTGTTAGTACCACCCCTTACTGACAATGGGAAAATGGCATCGTATTGCCTAGCTGAGATGAGTTTTGTCTGCGAACAGTCAGACGATGTAGTGTGTGCGAGATTTCAGGACAAAATTTTACTTCTAAATTTTTCAGCTAACTCGCAAACCAAGTTGGTAAAGTCTACCTTGCTGCATTCGCCATCTTACAGCATTTAACCTTTACACACTATAAACCATGTTGCACTAGAATAAATCAACATTTTGTTAAGAGTGATCCTGTCATGTATTGCACTTGCTCCCACCATAATGTATACACACATCAAACCAGTTTACATCCGATTATCTAGTGTCATTGCAATCCCTAAGCAGGCTCAACAAAAAGTATATGTTCATACCATACATTATATAATGTATCGCATCCTGTTACAGGATATAAATTTCCAGTTTACATTAAAGTGAGTAGTACTGTAGTCTTAATTATTCCATTCCGTCTTCTTCAACTATAACTGATTTGCTATTAATCAATGTCCTCCATCCAACTCTGTCTTCAGCCAGTGTGTGGCAGTCTTCCACAGGTACTGTATGGGCAGGTCCTTTAAGTTTCTCTTTGTGGTATTCTTGTACCAATTGGGTCTGCCTCTTCGTCTTAAGCCGCCTGTTAGCTGTGAGAATACTATCAGGCTGTACTGTAGTCTAACTATTGGAAAATAATTTCAGAACTGACTTGGTATACCCAGTGGGATCTGACAAAATTACCCAAATGAAAAGTAAAACTATCCAAATAGAGACCCAAATGAATTGGAATTACTCGGATGAAACCCAAATGAAT